TCCCGATACTCTTCTTCTAACTCTATTTGTTGTTTAAGGAGAGAAATATGTTGTTTAAGAAAAGAAATTTTGTCCTGTAACTCCTTTCTGTGATCTTCTACCACCATCTCCATAGCAGGAGCATATGGAGGTGGAGGAGTGCAGGGAGGGGGCCTTCGGGAAGAAGGCCATTCAGGATCAAAATATTTGGCTGCCTCTTCCTCTATGTCAGCACAATCTGGCTCTAACAAATTGATTACTTCAATCTTTGGCCGTATTTTGGATTCTATGTGTTTCTTTTTCTTTTGGGCATGAAAGGCAACATTTAAACAGTGAAACAAAAGCAGACAATTGATACACGTAAACAGCAAGCAACAGAACAAAACCAGAGAGTTGAGTTCAGGCTGACTTATTTCTTTCTCCATTATTACTATGACTTACTGGTCTCCACACAGCAGTTTCCTGTGACAATCACCTCTGTATCACCTCTGAATTTTCAGTGGATCTTTCTTCCAGTAACGTCCCTCACTGGGTCTCTGGTTCTTGCTGCCCCACATTGGGCACCACTTTGTAAAGGCCGTTTCTTTTGTAACGGCCATCAGGTTCTGTTACTTTGTAAAGGATGGCCGGTTCTGCTGCTCTGGTTGGCAGGTCAGGGTCTAGCAAGAGAGAGAGTGGGGACGGAGGAAGGGTGGAAAAGGGGCGAGAGATGCAAAAGATAGATACAAGACAGAGTCAGGTGGAGTCTCTTCAAGTCTCTTCTTTATTCTCCTCTCTTCTTCTATATTCTCCTCACTCCTTCTGTCTCCTGACACCTCCCACCTTCTCACTCCTTCCACCTTCTGCCTACTCAATAGAAAGGAAATCCTGGATATTTGTACCGTTTACCACGTGACTTGTCCTCGTGGACAAGCTCAACTGAAGCCACTACGTCACGTGCCTTGTAGCCATGGATACCAGGAGCACCTTGCAGCTGGGGGCACTAAACAGTGTAACAAGATGTTTATCAGTGTGCACTCAGCTATTGCAGGCTGTTGAAAACAAGTCTCTTGTCAGGGTATATGGCTCGAGATGGTTGTAATGATGATAGCCACTTTCGGCTAGAAGTCAGCTCCCAACACTAGCTCTCTAACTGTACCAAAATGCTGATGTTAATTTCTAAGAAGTCCTAAAAAACGTTCCTGCTCTTTCTGTAGGTTAAAAGCTGCTGGCTTAGGTGACTGGCACCTGTAGCCTAACCCTGGGGGTTTAAATAATCTGTCTTTGGTTTTATTTCAATAGGAACCATGGGGCTCTTTCAACCTGCTAGTTGGATATCACAGGAATAAAATAGACACTTAGAAAAGTGATTATAGCATTTATTACTAAGTTGTAAAATGTTTCCTATGAAAGCTATCTAAGAGAAAAAGCAGAAAGATCCTAATCAGGGAAAGGAAAAATTCTTCTAAGTGGGGAAAGGCAAAACATTGTAGTAAGTGAAAAATTCTTCCAGAAGGGGAAAACAAAAAAAATTATACTCTCTTCTCTTGCCCTCAGTACTCATACATCTTTCAGAATACATGATCACATGATACAAAGCTCATCACAAACTTATGCAGAAAATCAAATGATATATTGAAATAGAAGTTTACAATAGAAAATGCTTACATGTATACTAATTAGTAGTAATTATCTGGCTAAACATCAATCACCTGTCTCAGCTCCACAGGTTGACAGAAGGTTTAAAACAATATCTAAGTTATTAGTGAAGTTTTGCATAGATATAACTGGTCAATACGTAGCGTTGGTCCTAGCACCTATAATAAATCATTAGTTTTCTTTTCATGACCTTTGGTTAACTCTATTACAACCTCTTGGAATATGCTCTGAGGATGAGAAAGTCTGGTTACTCTGTAAGAGCAATTAACTGGTGATATTTGGGAAACTGACAGAGTTCTCATTGAAGTTTTGACTATCAGAAAAGGACCTAATAGCCATCCAACCATAAAAGAGCTTAATAATTACTAATATAATTTTAGGGATTCTTATAGGACCAACAAGACTTAAGAAGTCATTTATTTGTTTATCTAGTATCAGTACAATACAGTACATCTTCATTGATCTGCTCCAAAGTGGTGAACTACTAATTAGTGATTAGTATATATGTTTAGTAATAACAGGAAAAATATATTAAACAGAAATCTTTCTTAAAATTTATTCCCTTACAGCCTTGCTTAATTAAAAAGAATCTGTTACAGATCATATAATAATCTGAAGCAGGCCATCTCAGTAATATCACCTGCTAGTTATTAGCTTGTCCCATCATGGCTCCTGACACAAAGACGCGAAGAAAAAAAATAGAACTTTACAAAACCTAAAAATGGAAAATGAAGCAATAAAAAAGCACAAACTGAGCAAATGCTGGAGATGGAAAGCATAGCAAAGAGAAGAGGAACAACAGATGCAAGCATTACTAACAGAATACAGCAGATATAAGAGAGATTCCCAGACATTAAAGACAAAAGAAAAAATTAAAATATCAGTCAAAGAAAATGTTAAATCGAAAACATTCTTAGCACAAAATATCTAGGAAGTCTGTGGAAATAATAGGAAGATAAGAATGTGAATAACCCAATTATAAGGCCCAGAAAATAATTTCAACATAATCCTGGAAGGAAACTTTCCAACCTAAAGATAGACATGCCTATGAACATGCAAAAACCTATGGAACACCAATTAGTATGGACCAGAAAAGAAAATCCTCATACCATATATTCATCAGAACACATAATACATAAAACAAAGAAATAATACTAAAATTGTCTATGGAAATAGGCAGGTAACATGCAAAGACAGATGTATCAGAATTTCACCTGATTTTCCGAAGAGACTCTGTAAGCTAGAAAGGTCTAGTGAGATTTCTTGCAACCTCTAAAAAAAAAACCACAGATGCAAACCTAGACTATTACACTCAGCAAAACTCTCAAGCAGCATAGATGAAGAAAACAAGACATTGTAAGACAGATCCAAATTGAAACAGTATCTATGCACAAATATAAGCCTACAAAACATACTAAAATGAAAACTCTAACCCAAGGAGGATAACAACATCCAAGAAAATCAGTAAATAAGTTATCCCGTAGCATCAAAAACAAGGGAAGCATGCACTGATCATTAATATCTCAACACTAATGGACTTAATTGCAACAACAAACATACACAGGCTAACAGAATCAATACAAAATCAGGATGTGCTTTTTATACAGTTATTAACATAGAGAAATTCATGGGCTGAAGGGGAGAAAATAGAAAACTACATGATATGTTAGACTGAGGGAATCATATTTAATACATGTTCCTCAGGGCAGGAGGATTGATTGCAGTAATTTGAACAGACAAAATATAAATGCTGGAAGTGGTAGATGATTAGAAGGAAGCATAAAGTTCTGAACACAGCAGAGCAGGTACCAACTCCCGGGGACTGAAGCAAGAAACACAACACCTTGTTAGCCAAAGAGAGATTACATACAAATATGAAGATAAGAGATGCACATACCATTTTCCCACTTGTATCGGTAAATGGAAATTTTTGCTCCTGTAAAAGAAAAAAACAATTTTTTTTAATATGAGAGTCAATAATGTGACAAGTTGAACATACTTCTTTGGAAGATTAACTGTTCAAATATGATTTTGATTAAAAAGTAATCTTGAAGTGCTTAAAAAAAGACACACAGTTGTGTGGATAGTGAATGTAAAAATAAAAGAATTAGAGAATGCTATGATTATGATCAAAATGACTTGTAAAACTAAGGGCTATCAAAGAACTAAAATGTAGAACATAAACGTTTTTAATATACATCATTCTTGCCCATATAATTCAATAGCTACAAAAAACACTAAACTGAATAGCAACAAACATATAAATGCATTATTACAAAAGATATTAATAATAAACATGATCCCTGAGCTATATGCTCAGCCACATATAATGAGGCTATTTTCTTTCCTGTATGATGAACTTCGAAGACTTTTTTGGGAAGATAATTTGTACTGTGTAATATCTGTGTATATCCATCAGAAACCCTACCATAAAGGAGATCACTACCAATGACAAATAACAAAGAATGCTTAGAATTGACTTTAAATTGTAAGTCAAATTCTCCAAGAATTTGTGCATTGTAATGATACATAATTATGAAATTAACACTTACATATTAAGAGAATGGATTTCTTATTCATCATCACAACTAAGGTTAATACACCTTGAGGTCACTTAAGAGAGTGCACATAGTATTATGTGCACTCAGCTTATTTAACCTGCATATTAATTAAAAATGAAATAAAAATCTTGATTGCTTTGGATTTATCATTTAATCAGCTTTTGTTAACAACTTATGAATAACATTAATTCCAAATTTATTTTTGGATGACCATGTTCTAATATAATTCAATTCATAATAAATACAAGAAACAAAAATCAGGCAGAAAGCAATCACAAAATGTTAATGTCTACATGTGTTGAAAATGCATAAAAGTATTGCTTATAGGTATTAATCTTTTATTATTGATGTCAATTGGGTTCAGTTGGATTAACTGACATAATTTCTTATAAAACTCATTGGAATAACCTATGTAATCAAAGTGACCTATTACAAATGATGTCAGAAAACTATTGATGAAGTAGGCTTGTGAAAAAATATTCCCAAAAGGAATCATGTCTGGAATCTTTATATCTATTTACATAAATGTAATCATAAGGGATACATAGAAGAATAATTATGACCAAAATTATTTCCCCTGTTTTTCAACTGGCCATAGGGTCTCAGATGCAGAGCCCCAGGCCAGAGAGTGCTTCAGTATCCTCCAAAGGCAAACTGTGATCTGAAAAGTAAATGCTGTGACAAGTACATGTGTTCTTTATTAGTAACTACAGTAATAAAAAGTGACACCTAGATGTGCTCATGAAAATTTATATCTGAAATTCTGCCAGCCTGATGATTCGTGCTACATTTTGCTCAGGCCCCTATCTTGATGACATAACAAATATGTTCTCTTTGATTGTTGTATTCTTGACTCTGAAGCTTTCCTTTCTTTATTGCTGTTTGAATAACCCCAATTGCTTTTGGAGAACAAAAGACACAGATCGTTATTTTGGAGACATGGAACTTGATTGCTTCTTTTTCATTTATACAAAGCACGGTTATGTGAAGAATGATTACTACAGTGGGAATCTAGACGAGTGGTAAGTACAATTTTCGTTTATGGATAAATTCAGATATAGCAATTCATGGATGCTGAGTAATAAGATCATATGTGCCTCCTAGCTGTCATTCTCTAGAACATAATATTAATTTTGTGTTTAATGGCTGGTCATTTCGCTAGTTATGTTACTTTTATGTGTTGCTTGTTTATTGTGATTTTTTAATCACAATCCAGTTAGATACTGAATGAATATATTACACTATTGACCTTGCTTTAGAGAGATTCTCTTTATATGCCAATTTCCATCTTATGTTTTTATGTGATGTTAGTACATGTTGCCTTTTCTGTGACTAAATGTCTGAGACATCTAGGGGTCCAGGTTAGTTGAGGCTGATGGTCTTCTTATGGTGTTGCCTACCTCCTAAGCTTCTTCCAGTCTTTTTCTAATTCAACCACAGGGATCCTCAAATTCAGTACAATGCTTGGGTGTAAGTATCTGCAGGTATCTCAGTCAGCTGCTTATTGGGCCACTCAGAGGACAACAATGCTAGTCTCCTGTTTGTAAGAACACCATATCATCAGTAATAGTGTCACTCCTCGGAGTATCCTTTGAGATGGAGCCTAATTTAGAGTGGTGACTGAATCTCCTTTCCCTCAGTTTTTTTCTCCATTTTTGTCACTGCAGGTTTTCTTTAGACAGAAATATTTCAGGGTCAGAGTTTTGACTGTGGGATGGCAACCCCAAATGTCCACATTATGTCCTGTCTTTCTCCTGGAAGTGGACTCTATAATTTCCTTCTACCCTCACTTGGACATTTCATTTAAGGATCTTGTATATTGTTTATATTATGATTAGGTATGGTCCTTGAACACATGATCTCTCCAATACTTTTCAAATGAAGATGTATTGTGTTTTGTCGAAAGCCTTTCAATATCTGAGATGATCATGTGAATTTTTGCGTTTGTTTTTATTGTAGATTACATCAGCAGATTTTCATATTGAGAATATATTTTGCACTCCTGGGATGCTTTTTACATTATCTCAACTATAGTACTAATTAGTATTAGACTTGCTTCATATGATAGTTAATTTTTTGATGCACATCTACAGAATAATTTACAATAACTCAGAGAATAATTCAAAATATTGACTTTGAACAATGCATAAATCTTTTCCTATTTTTCTTCCACAATTACCCTAACTTGTGTTACCATTTTTAAAAAGTATATTACCTATTTTAGGAAAACATATAATGTATTATCATCATATTTGATCCTTTCAAATAATTCTTCCATTTTTATTCATTCCCCTATGATATTATGTACAATCTTTAAAAAGCAGGTGAGGAAAAAGCAAAAATTCTTATGTGCAAATACACTGAAGTGATATGTAATTGTTAAATAAGATTATCAAACTGTATAAAAATATATCAAAGCAGATATATCCAGTAAAAATATGTTTAATAAAATAGAGAAGTTAAAATGAACCTATTAGAAACAGAACATATCTGAACAAATCTGAACTAAATAAAACCCAGGGGAGTTATGTAATAGCCAGTGATTGTAGGGAAAGAATGAATTTGTATAACCTAAGGGTAATATGTGAAGTGAGAGGAGTTCAGTCTGAACAGTAAAATGTTATAGCTACAACCAATTTTATATCACCAAATTTTGTACAGTCTCAAATAGACAATGAAATGAGATGAACTGTGTGGAATGAGGAAAAGAGTGTAAGAATTATTGTGGAATTTGCGTTAACTATTAATTGTTTAGATTTTGGCAATTGTTGACACAAACAAATTTGGCTAACTTTTTTTTCATTATGTTACGAAGGATCATGACATTTTTTAGTTCTGATTCTGTAAAGAGGTGTAACATTCTAGATAGTAGATAATTCTCATTTTTTCCCCACATGTTAGGTATAAGAGATAAAATGAAGGCATGGAAAGATTTAATGTTGGCTCAGGAACCTTTTCAAATAAATATATGACATACAAATATTTCACTGTGTTCAAGGAAAACAAGATAAACCTGTAGAAAATGTCTAAAATGACAGAAATCTGTTATTTTAAAATTCATATTTTTAAAAAAAATTTATTAAAATATTTTAAAAAGCACATTGTGTCTAACTGCAGAACACAGTTAAATAAGAGGTCAAAAGGAGAAGATAAGAGAAAATTCTGTAAGTGCTTAATATATTCATATGTATTTATGTATATATATTAGACTCAAGACGTCATAACAGAAGTAAATAAAATTCAATTCATCAAATTAAAAAAATTCAGATTTTAAATAATTTTGAACACCTCACATCCTGTTACATGACAATGAGGAACAGTGTCAACATGCATCACAAGATCCAAACTTTCACTGCATAAACCAGACTGAATTTTACTTAAGATTACCACAATTACAACCCATATCCTCAATGATTGGTGTGCTCTGTTTACAGGGTGACAGATAAGACCATCCACTTGATTTCCTCTGTTTATTTTGCCATTGAAGAAATCAATAGGAACATTTATATTTTACCTAATATTTCTCTACTAGTTAACATTCAATGTAACACAAGGAAAAATATTGAGATAAGAAATTGGTTCTTTAATAAAAAGAAAATTATTCCTAATTACTACTGTAAAAATCAGAGAAGATATTTAATTGTACTTGCGGGACCTCTATGGAAAGCATCTTATGAACTTGGACCAATCCTGTACTTCTCCAGAACTCCAGAGGTAAATCCCAGAGGGTTACACTTAATGAAATACTATCTTACCATAGTCTTAGTTTCTGAGTATGAAGGCTGACTAAAAGGCAGAGAATTCATTTATATCTATTCTGATCTATCAAATATAAAAATTAGATACTTTCTTTGGAAAAAACAACAACTTTATGACAAATGGTAGGGAGAGACAACATAATATGAAATGTTTTACCAGAAAATTTAATTTAACTGTGTTGTATAGCAATTCTCAAGAATTTGGATAAGATTTGAATAATGAGATGAAGAAACCACACTTTCTCACATGTCTAACATGTGCTCTAGCACACTTAGACCTTAGACTGAGCCCTATGCATTCCATTTCTTCATAGTGATGCTTATGGTCAATATCTTTCAGCTTTACTGTGGTTATTATAATTTCCGTCTAAGTGACCAGGAACAATTTCCTCATCTCTACCAGATGTCCCCCAAAGACACATCTCTACCATTAGCCATGGTGTCCCTAGCAGTTCACTTCAGGTGGAACTGGGTAGGACTGGTCATTAAAGAAGATGAGCATGGAATTCAATTCCTTTCTGAATTAAGAACAGAAATGAAGAGAAACATTGTCTGCTTAGCTTTTGTCACTATAATCCCAAATGATGTGCAGAAACCCTTTAAACACTATCATGAATATTATGAACAAATCATAACGTCAACAGCAAATGTTGTGATTGTCTACGGGGATAAAGAATCTCCTTTACAATATGCCTTGATGCTATGTCAATCTGAAGACTTTCCGAGACTCTGGGTCAGTGTCTCACAATTTGATATGATCACAAAAACAGGAGATTTCCTGCTTAACTCCATTCATGGAACTCTTATTTTTTCACATCAGCATTCTGAGATACCTGGTTTTAAACAATTTATGCAGACAGCGTACCCTTTAAACTACAGTAATGACATTTCTTTTGCTAATATGTGGTGGACTTACTTTAAGTGTTCTTTGCCACCACCTAATTGTATAACACTGAAGAACTGTACAACCGAAACACTGTTTAAATGGATTTCTGTGCCACACCTTGGAATGTCTATGAGTGAAACATGTTTTAGCTTATACAATGCTGTGTATGCTGTGGCCCACTCACTTCATGAGATGCATCTTCAACAAGCAGACACATTCTCAGAGAATGATGAAAAGTTACTGGAATTTAACCCTTGGAAGGTAATAATTATTACACTGAGTGGCATATATAACATAGGATGGCATTCATAATGGGAATCATAAAGTCAAAATCCATGTAAATATGCAACTTTATCTGAAATGCATGTATTTCAACACTTTACCACTGCATAAGAGGCTTATAATATTAGTTTCATAATTTATGTGACAGATAACAACTTGACACCAAATCAGCATTTCACAATCCAAATCATGAAATTTCCTCTGCTATTTCAATCATACATGCATCTCATGATTTTATCATTTGAAATTTTTTACTTATGAAATTAGTAAATGAAGTTAAGGAAATGACTTGGTTTTTACTTGAACAAAAAGTTTCTAATTAATGTCATGAATAGACCTCAAATAATTTCAAGTATTTTTTCCATATTTTGAACAATTGAGTTTTTAGTTTCCCTATCTTATGATCAAATAATACTGTTGGTAGAAAAAATAAATAATTTATTACTATTCTCCAAACATAAAACTCATGTGTCCATGTATTATGGGGTCAAATATAGTAAGGAAATGGTATTTGTAAAGCAAAATGAAACTTTAAATTATTTGGGATATATTTTACCTTTTCAGTGCTGAATACTTCTGATAAAGGTGGGTTTTAGGAGTGAATAATAGATCTGAGTGACATTTCAAACTTCATAATTTCTTTAGTAATGTGTGGGGATAGTTGAAACTAAAATGACAAATATGTTTTAGATGTTCTCTTTTCTGAAGACCATACAATTTGAAAACCCTGTTAGAGACCTAGTAAACATGAACCAGAATAGAAAACTGGATACAGACTATGATATTTTTTATATCATGGATTTCCTAGACCGATATGGACTTAAAATGAAAATCGGAAGATTTTCTGGTCATTTTCCAAATGGTGAACAACTGTTTCTGTCTGATGAAATGATAGAGTGGACTGCAGACATCAAGAAGGTAATTTAGTTATAATTTTAATACTTTACATGAAGCAAAACTACCTATAAATTTTTCTACTTTTGTTTTACTACGAAAAAAATTTTAACATTTCTTCATTCATTACTTTCTACCATCCTAAGTTCTCTCTCTTTCCATCTATTTGATCTCTATCTTACTCACTCTCTCATAAGTGTTTCAAGACATAAAAATCATCATAATGTCCATACAAGTTAATCATTTAAAACAGAACAATGTAATTTTGCTTTATAACATAATACTGTGTGTAAAGGGAAATCTTTCTTTGGCCTTCTCATGTTAATCACTACAGTGTTTAACATGTAATTTAAACTGTTTATTTCTGTAATGTATCTGATTTTCTTCAGACATTAGCCTCCAAATGCAGTGTGCCTTGCAGACCAGGACTCAGAAAATTCTTTCAGGAGGGAAAGGATGTCTGCTGTTTTGATTGTTACCCTTGTCCAGAAAATGAAATTTCTAACATGACAGGTAAGATTACTTTTCTCAAAGTTGAGTAATAAGTAAAAGTAATAAAATTGCTTATATCTCCAATATGCACAAAGTTTTCAAAAGTCTTTTTGGAAAGGGAAAGATAAATTAAAGTAAAAATAAAATCAATAACACTGACTTGATGTAATAAACTTTGTCTCTTGGACTATATTTTTGTTTCAAAATTCACCAGGCAATGAAAATAATGTGTCTTCAGAGTATTAAAGATTATGTATTTCTTATGGTGGTATGCTTCAAATTTATTGAAGATATAAATAATTCACATTTTTGAAATTTCTAACAATCATCAGATGTTAATTGATGTTATGTCATGCTTTTGAAGTATGCGTTTTTCATTGTCCTATGGTAGATCAATATTATCATTGACAGTTCACATTTTCAAATTTCATGTGGTTCACAGAGGAGTCTGTAGTCCCACATGGGGAACTCTAAATAACAACTTTTATTCTAAGATTTATATCTAGGATGCACAGTGATATCATAATTAAGTAGGTAGTGATATCTACATTGGGGTTAATAAAGTTTCAAACTGATTTTTCAAAGTAGTAGCCCATTAGGCTATGAAGTATAGAATTAATTGATGTTGGAGGGATTAGAAATCGCCAAGCAAATAACAGAAAATAAAACAACCAGGGCAGTATATAAATGGTTCCGTATCATTTGCATGTGAAAATTATGAAGATGAAGTGCATTTGAAAAAATTGCACTAAAATATTAACCAATTTTCACTACACAACCTATATACTACAGTAAGATTTGGAAATACTGAGTTATATATAAAAGAAAAATTATTAAAACTATTATCAATATGAATGATGTTATAGCACATGTATCAAATCAAATAAACAGTGAAATTTATTGACTTTTCTGATGGTTGAGTACTGGACAGTAAATTTCATTAAATTTGCCTTGCTCCTATATGTTTTTCTTTTTCTTGTAAATAGAGTCTTCTCTTATACAGTACTTCCAGCCACATTTCCTTTTCTATTCTTCTTGGATTACTACCAAGTCCCTATCTTGGAGACCATTCCCCTTTTATTTAATGTACAGTAAAGTGTGGATATCCAAAAGAAGATAGTGAAACAGGACAAAAGAAGATACAATAAGACAAGTCAAAGTCATTATATTAAGGATGGACAAGGCAACCCAGTAGGAGAAAGTGAGTTTCAAAGGCCAGCAAACAGGCAGAGCTATACCTACTCTCACTGTGAAGAGTTCCACCAAAACTCAAGCTAACAGCCATACCATATTTGCAGAGGACATGGTGCAAATCTACAAAGTCATCAATGATGCTTTAATTTTTGTGATTCTCATGGGAGATTCTCACCTAATTGAAATGGAAGAATATGGTTTTTTTTTCTGGTGTTTTGCATTCCCTATGTATTTTTCAACTTTTCCTACACTATTCTTCTGAAGGGAGGCACATGATAAAGATGTCTAATTTAGATTCTCTCTGCATGCCTGACTAAGGGTCTATACACTTGCTCTTATCTGCTACTTAGAAAGCTTCTCTGCCGATGCCAAGATCTGGCACCAATGTAACAATATATATATTGTTACATATATATATAATGTGTAATATATAAATTAGAAATCATTCCTTAAGGTTTTTTTTAGGGAATAGTACTATTTGAGATTTTCTAATTCTCTGGAATATCTATTGTCCAGATTGTGACCATCCAAGTAGGGTTGAACATGGACTCTTTGTAGAGTAGGTATCAAGTTAAATCAGTCATTGGTTGGGTATTTCAACAAGTTATATGCTACCATTGTTCCAGCACATCTTGCAACTTGGTGATATTGTAGGTGGAAGGTATAGTAGATATTGTAACATCTGTGTTTATCTTTGCATAGCCTATTGTATAAGACTTCTGGCCCATACCAAATGCATCTTTCCATATTCAATAACTAGAGTCGAAGTTGTCATCAGCAATGGAGTCTTGATATCAGGTTTCAGATGGTTATATTTTGACCAAGCATCAACATGGGTTGTTTACAGATTTTCTTGTCAACTGCTCAGTCAATAACTCAACCAATTTTAACCCAGCACTCTACTTTCCTGGTTGCCAAAGAGCACACAATTTAGCCTCTGTAATCTCCATTAATAGAAATCTTCTTAAGGGCCATCCCATAGATTTCAAAAGTTTCTACAATACTGTATTTCCACATGGTCAACCAAAAACCTTCAAATTCCAACAGTTCCCTCTTCATTCTCCTTCCACAACCCCAAAACAGCCCGCTTACTCTTCTGTCTTCTGCCCTGAACAACAAAAAGGATCTATTTTATTTCCTCATTCCAGTAAGACTGATGCTCTAGTGCCTCAGACGTCTTAATTATCTAGAGTTAGTGCATTATTTGTATTTATCATTTGTTAACAGCTAATATCAACTTTTAAATTAAGGATACTACATCTGTTTTCTAGATGTGGGTTATGTGACTCAGGATTATGTTTTCTAGTTTCATTCATTTGTCAGAAAATTTCATGGTGTCATTTTGTTTTTAACAACTGAGTAATACTATATTATATAAATGTATGCTATTTTCTTTATGCAGGCTTATTTGAAGTACAGCTACTTGTTTTCAGTCTCTGATTATTAGACTTTAGACACAAAAACATAGTTGAAAAATTCTCCTTGTGTTATGAGAGAGTAGTAGACAAATACACAAGAGTGGTATAGCTGGGTTCGGCAATAGAGCTATTCCTAGTTTTCTGATGAATTGCCTTATATCTTTCATAGTTGTTTTATAAGTTTGTATTCTAATCAGCAATGGAGATATGTTCCCTTTGCCCCACATGCTTGCTTCCATGAACTATCACTGGTGTTATTGAATTTAGCCATTTGACAGGTAAAGATGGAATCTCAAAATGGATTTGAATTGCATTTCCATAATGGCTGAGGATGATGAAAGTCTAAGTTTTTCACAGCCCTTTAAGACTCCTCTTTTTAGAATTCTCTATTTAATTCTGTATCTAAATTTTAAATTGCATTTTTTCTTATCTAGTTTCCTGAAAAAATATTTTGGATATTATCCTTCCTTTGAATGAAAAGGGGGTAAAAAGATTTACTAACCCTTAGGCTTTTTTTTTTAGTTTTTGTGTGTCTTTGCTTTAAAGAAGATGTTCAATTACGTAATGACCCATTATAAGTTGTTGGTGTTATTGCCTGGTTAGTGGTCTTTTGTTTTGAAAGCCACGGCTTGGGTCAATGTATTCTTTTGACCATTCTCTTACACTCAGGTACAATGTGTCTAATTTTATGTTAATGTCTTTGATCCAATTAGACAGGAGAATTGTGTATGGAAATAAATATGGATCTATTCATATTCTACATACAGACATCCAGTTTAACCCACACTGTTTCTTAAACATTCCTTCCCCCCTGCAAGAGTGTATTTCTGAATTCTTTATGCAATACCAAAGACCCATAGGTATCTGAATTTATCTCTCATCATCAATTCCTTTCCATTGATCAATGCGCCTACTTTTATGCCAATATCATACAACTTTTAGTACTATAGTTCTATGCTACAAATTGAAATCAGAAATATTGATTCACTTTGCAACTTTGTTATTGTTCAAGATTAGAAAATGTTCTTGTTTCCTTATTTGCTGAAGCTCATGCTAGACTGCTTGGTCAATTGTTGTGCATAAGAACTTAGAGTGCTGCTGAGCTTGAGACAAGGGGAGACTTGAGATATCCCCATCATCACAAGGTTTCTATCTAGAAAACATTCAGTGATTGTCCCTTAACCACTTGTAACATCTAACAGTAATTTATACATCATGAAGAGAAATTTAATTCAAACAAATTATAAATATTTAATGATTCACTGCTGAATTATCATTTATCTTGTTACCATTACCTGAATGTTACCAAGTCACAGGTAAAAGTACTTCTTTAAATATCCTACCTTCCCTGTTGTATTGGTTAACCATTAAACAGGTAATGTCACTGGTTAATCACTGAACAGGCCTGAGAATTGTTTAATAATTAAGCATAGATTAACACTGCTTAGTCATTAGAGGGGGTGTGCCTCTGGTTATCCATTAGCCAGGAAGTTGATTGACTGTTCAACAAAGGCTGCAGGAGCCACAGAACCTGCTTAGTCAGAATGAGTTCCAAACAGCAATGTGGGAAACTGAACAATGGCCACTTCATCCCTGCACTGGGCTTTGGCTCCTAGAAGCCAGAAGAGGTTCCTGAAAATAAGCCACTTGAGGTTATCCTTTTAGCTCTAGAGGCTGGGTTCCGCCATATTGATACTGCATATGTGTACCAAACTGAAAGCCATGTAGGGCAGGCTATTCGAAGCAAGACTGCAGCCGGCTTTGTGAAAAGAGAAGACATTCCTCACTACAAAGCTTTGGTGGAATTTCCATAGACCAGAGCTGGTTTGATCTATCTTGGAAAAATCACTGAAAAACCTTCAGCTGGATTATGTTGACCTCTATATTATACATGATTCAATGCAAATGAAACCAGGAGAAGATCTGTTTCCAGAAGATGAGCATGGAAAAACATTATTTGGCTCAGTGGATATCTGTGTCACATGGGAGGCCATGGGGAAGTGTAAGGATGCAGGATTGGTCAAGTCTATTGGAGTGTCCAACTTTAATAGCAGGCAGCTGGAGAAAATTCTGAATAAGCCTGGGCTCAGATACAAGCCTGTCTGCAGCCAGGTGGAATCCCATCTCTACCTAAACCAGAGCAAGCTGCTGAACTATTTTAAGTCAAAGGACATTGTTCTAGTTGCCTACTGTGGTCTTGGATCTCAACGACCTAAGAGATGGACAAACCCAAGCTCTCCAGTTGTCTTGAATGTCCCAGTTCTTTGTGACATGGCAAAAAATGCACAAGCAAAGCCCAAATCAGAATGCCCTTCACTACCAACTTCAAGGTGGAAGTGTGCTTCTTGCCCAGAGTTACAAAGAGAATGAGATAAAAGACAACATACATGTATTTGAATTTGGGCTACTGTTAGAGGATATGAAAATCCTAGATAGCCTGAACAGAAATTTGAGATATGTGCCTGTTCCATTTGGAGAGGGACACCCAGAACGCCCCTTTTCTCATGAATTTTAATGTGGAAACCTGTGTCATGACTTCAACACAATGTCTCAAAGTTCTTCTATATGGACAGTGATGTATGTGACATTCCAGATGCTGCTGATTCAACATATGTCACTTCTGCTCAGTCTGAGCTGCCTGACAACCCTCCTTCACCCAAAGCTGCATCCACCAGTCCAGAACATAAGACATTACATTTTCATTATTTTTGAAATCGTTGTAATGCTTGTAATAAAGGTCTTTCTTTGGTCAGGAAAAAAAAAAAAGAGAAAATGTTCTATCAAAGTCTATAAAAATAATACGTGTTGGTATTTTAATGTGATTGACTGAATCCATGTGTTGAATTTGGAAGGATGACTATTTTACTATGTTACTTAACTAATCTAAGACATCGAGAGATCTTTCAATCTTCTGATACTATTTAAATCATTTCCGTCAAAGTTTTGTGATTTATGTTTTTCTTATTGTTCTTTCATTTGTTTAGCCATAGATTCCATAAGATATTTTACTTTATTTGAGTTAATTTTGAAAGGTGTTTTTTTCTCTTATTTCTTCTTCAATCAATTTGTCATTTATATATAGGGAACCTTCTGATTGTGTGTGTGTGTGTGTGTGTGTGTGTGTGTGTGTGTGTGTGTTAATCTTGTATCCAGCTACTTTGCTGATAATTTTTATCAGCTACTGGAATGTTGAGGGACACATGTGTTTACAACCATGTCATCAGTAAATAATGATGATTTGACTTTAATCTCTCTAAATTGTGTAGCTTGACACTCTTCAGTGTCCTCCTGCTCTAACTAAAACACCAAGCAGTATTCTGAATAGATAGTGAAATAGTGGTATCAATCTTGGTCCTGATATAAATATATTATTTATATAATTTTTTATTTGGTTTCTTTCTTTCTTTCTTTCTTTCTTTCTTTCTTTCTTTCTTTCTTTCCTTCCTTCTTCCTTTCTTTCTTTATCAATTCTTGATCTTAGAGCCTGAGCTGTTGGCGTTCTGTTCATCAAATATTGCCCTGTGCCAATGAGTTCAAGGCTCTTTACAAATTTCTCTTCTATTGGATTCAGTGTATCTGGTTTTAGGTTAAAGTCCTTGATCTACTTTGACTTGAGCTTTGTGCAAGGTGATTAATATGGACCTACTTCCATTCTCTTATATACAGACCACCAGTTAGACCAGCACCATTTATTAAAGATGCTTATTTTTTCACTATATTTTTGGATTCTTTGTCAAAGACCAAGTGTCTGTCAGTGTATAGGATTACTTCTGGGTTTTCCATTTAATTCCATTGATCAACCTGTCTGTCTCTGAACTAGTACTGTGGAGTTTTTAATCACTATTGCTTTGTAGTACAGCCTGAGGTCAGGAATGGTTATTTCCCCTTTCTGTCCTTTATTGTTGAGAATTGTTTTGGCTGTCCTAGGATTTTTGTTTTTTCATATGCAGTGAAAAATTGCTCTTTCCATGTCTCTGAAGTATTGTGTTGGAATTTTGATACAGGTTACATAGAATTGCAGATTGCTCTTGGTGATGAATTCATTTTCATTATGTTAATTATACCAATACATGAGCATAGAAGATCTTTACATCTTTTGAAGTCTTCTTCAATTTCTTTTTCCAGATATTTGAAGTTCTTTCCATAGAGATCTTTCACTTGTTTGATAAGAGTGAAACTCATATATTTTATACAATTTGTGGATATTGTGAAGGGGTACTGTGTCCCTTATTTCCTTCTCAGAATGTTTATCATTTGTATAAAGGAAGGCTACTAATTTGTTTGTGTTAATTTTATATCCTGCCATTTTGCTGAAATTGTTCATCTACTGTAGGAATCCTTTGGTGGAATTTTGAGGATCAGTTATATATAATGTCATATCATCTGAAAATACCTTGGGTACTTCCTTTACAATTTGTATCCCTGATTCTCTTTGGTGGTCTTATTGCCCTTGATAGAACTTTAATTTCTATATTTAAAAGTTATGAGGAAAGAAGAAAAACTATCTGATCATTTTTAAGTGGATAAAAATATGGAGTATTTAAATACTTCTACTCATCAATTTAGACAACACTGTTCAGCAAAATCAAAAAGAAAATAGAAAAGGAACCCAAATGTACATCTTTGAATGCAGAGACTCAGTACTAGGAAAAGAACACCACTTTTCACTTTGATCTATTAGCTTAATTTGATTGAAGAAACTGAACATATTATTGTGTAAACTACCAGTATACGAGCGGAACGAATCTCAAAAACCTTCAACTACTAAAATCTGTCAAAATTATTTTTGAGGCATTTATCATTATTTAGAGCATGATATTTTTTAATAATTACTACAGCCTAGGGGTACTGTATAGTCAAGTCTTATATAAATTTGTAAAACTGCCATATAATGTGCCCTTCCACAATTCACACACTGAAACATAAAACTGAAGGTGATATTTTTGACATATAAAGGAATTGGGTGATGTTTTTTCATGTTGTCTCTTCCTGATTGATGTTATTGTAGCTGTTTATAATACGTTTATTTTGAAGATTATAATATGATTGCATTATTTCTTTCCCTATCTTTTCTAAAAATCTCTCAAATACTCTCTCCTTATTTGTTTTCGAATTTATGACATTTTATTAAGTGCGCTCTCTCTCTCTCTCTCTCTCTCTCTCTCTCTCTCTCTCTCCCTCTCTCGCTCTCTCACACTCTCGTTCTCTCTCGGAATATATATATATGATAGATAGATAGATAGATAGATAGATAGATAGATAGATAGGTAGATAGATATTTCTAGGTACAAACAAATCATTCTATATATTACATGTATGCTTACAGAGAAGATAAGGTTATTATCCAAATAAAATTAATTGGTATATGCCTCTCAGGTGAACACAATTTAACTCACTTTCCATATTCCTCTGTTATCTATAATTCTCTAAGATAGAATTATGCATGATGTCCCTTCCCTACTCCAATGGGTCAGATTCTTTGTTTTTATTTTCAGGCAGCTCAGGGTTAAGAAGCCCTTTTTAGTTAGATGTTTATGGGTGTTATCTGTGGCCTTCCTAGAAGATACACACTTATATAAGACTCTCTTGTTCTCTAGCTCTTTCTCCCTTTAAACACATTTTTTTCTTTGTAATTTTCTAGCCCTAACTGAGTAATTGATTTTGTAGAGGTATTAATTGGACTGCATTCCAAAACTATAAATTTTTATTGTCTATGGTTTTCTCTATGTGTCTCTTTCAAAGGTAAGTTTCCATATTGAATGATAAGGAGTATAAATATTTGTATGTGTAAGAACAAACATTTAGAAGCCAGTTTGGAATTCTAATATTTTAGTAAAATTTGACTGTAAGTTATTTTCCAAGTCATGGAATAGTACAGTTTATATGCCCAAATATTTGCTTCAGACCACACGTAGGACCGCACTTTCTGCTAATACATAGATCCACTGACACATCTTCTGAGTTCATTTTTGTATAATATATTCAATTATAAGTGAAAATTGTGTGATTCTATGAGTGATCAATCTAAGGCATATTATCGTGGAAACATAAAAATTATGCAACAGTACAGTTTTGATTTTGAAAAATATAATAAAATATATATATATTATATATAATATATTATATTATGTATTATGTATTTCATATATATATATATATATTAGATAACTATGAAGAAATGCTTGCATAAAGATTAGAAGAATTGGAAATTAGGATTACATCTTATGAATCTCCCATAATTAAGTTTGCATCTAAGACAAGATTAGTCTAATTTACTTATGATTTTTTAAAGCATAAAGTTAGTGTATCTGATAATACTTTCCTTTCTGTACTAGACATGAATCAGTGTGTGAAGTGTCCAGAGGATGAGTATGCCAATACAGACCAAACTGACTGCCTCAAAAAAGTTGTGACATTTCTGGATTTTGAAGACCCCTTGGGAATGGCTCTGGCTGGCTTGGCTTTGTGCTTCTGTGCTTTTACAGCTATTGTACTCTGTGTCTTCTTGAAACACCGAGACACTCCCATAGTCAAGGCCAATAATGAAACTCTCAGCTATGTCCTATTAATTTCTCTCATATTTTGTTTTATCTGTTCCTTGCTCTATATTGGTTATCCCAGTATGTTGAGCTGCATCCTGGAGCAAATCATATTTGCCATTGCGTTCACTGTGGCTGTCTCTAGTGTCTTAGCCAAGACAATTATTGTAGTACTAGCATTTAAGATCACTGTTCCAGGAAGAAGAATGAGTTGGCTGCTGCTTTCAAGGGCACCTAATTACATCATTCCCATATGTACCATGATCCAATTGATTCTCTGTGGAATCTGGCTGGGAACTTCTCCTCCATTTGTTGATGCTGATATTCACATGGTACATGGTCACATCATCATTGTTTGTAACAAAGGTTCAGCAATTGCTTTTTATGGTGTCTTGGGATACATGGGCTCTCTTGCTCTAGCAAGTTTCACTGTAGCTTTCCTGGCCAGGAATCTGCCTGACACATTCAATGAGGCCAAGCTCCTGACATTCAGCATGCTGGTGTTCTGCAGTGTCTGGATCACCTTCCTCCCTGTCTACCATAGCACTAAGGGCAAGGCTATGGTTGCTATGGAGGTCTTCTGTATCTTGGCCTCAAGTGCAGGGATACTCCTTTGCATATTTGTCCCAAAGTGCTACATTATTCTGTTGAGACCACAAATAAACTCTTCTTATGTGTTTAGGAAAATGCAAGCTAATGCTAAAAATATCAATAGAATTTAACTGCTTAAATAGTACACAAAACATATCTACATGATCACCATACTGTTTCTATATATTAAAATATTATGTGGGTTTCTAAGATTAAAAAATGTAGAAAACAATTGGAACAATAAAGATTTAATATGTGATGAGGATGTCAGTCTATTGGATCAAAACATGCAATCAGATACTTTTATACTTTTAATGCTGATATGTTTTATCATCGAAACATCTAATATCTGAAAATTATTACTTGGGTATAAAAATTATTTCATTTGACACCTATTTTCCAGTACTAATTTTATGTTCTTTTTAGATTCCAGAAAAATATTTTGCCATTCAGAATGTGTTTATATAATGTATATATTGCCATATAGATTTAAGAAGAAAACCTTATATTTTGATCTAGACCTGCAGGAAATCTACAAAACATGATTTAAAAAATTTCTATGTGAATGGTATCCCAGTACATGAGATGATAAGAATAAAATGTAAGGCTCATGTGAGGATGCTTGTATCTGTCTCAGACTAAAAAATAGAATAATCCTTGGATATGAAGGCAGAGAGGGAATTTGGTGGAAGAGGGAAGAGGTTGGTGTTCAGGGTAATCAGGAGGATAAGGTATAGGGACATATAGGGAGAGAGGGCAAGGTAGGTAAACAAAAAATGACAGTAAGTTTAGAAGGAGGAGTCTCAATGATATGTCAAAGACCTATGGTAGGGGATGCTCCAAGGAATCTAGGAGGGTCATTCTAGCTGAGACTGCTGCCAGTGTGGGATCTGGAGCCTGAAATGGCTACCCGCTGTAGACAAGCAGGACTCCCAGAGGACACCAACTAAAAACCCTTCAACCCATAATTTGTGCTGCAGACCACATTGAAGTACAGGGACAATTATTAAACAGAGACTGAGGCAGTAGTCATACCAATGACTCTGCCCACTTAAGACTCATCCCATGGGCAAGAACTAATCCCTGAAACTATCAAAATATTCTCCTATGCTCGCACTCATGAATCTAGCATAATCATCCTCTTAGATGCTGCGGTCAGTGACTGACAGAAACAGAAGCACAGAACCATAGCAAAACATTGGGCTCAACTGAAGGAGTTCTCAGAGCGAATTGTGGGAAACACTGAGAGACCCAAATGGATCATAGCCTGCAGAAGAAGTTCAACAGCCACAATAAACCTGGACCTCTGTGAGATCCCAGAGATGAACTATCAACATGTGCTTTACCTATGCTCCATGCACAAATTTAGCAGAAGTACAGCTTGGAATTCATTTCTGCAAACACCTGGAGCAGGAGCTGTCCCTGACTCTGTTACCTGCCTGTGCATCTTGTTCCAATGACTGGGTGCCTAGTCTAGCCTCAGGGAGAGAAGATGTGCCCAGTCCTGCAGTCATTTGATGTCTTAATTTGTATTGGTACCTGTGGCAGAGGGTAGTTCTCACCTTGTCATGAAGGAAGGGGAAGGGAGAAAATGGCGTGGAATCACGTGAGGTGAGATATCAGAGGGGAGGCTGTGAGCAAGATGTAACTTGAATAATACATTAATAAAAAATGAATGATTCACCTGAATTTTTATTCCCAGGAAGAAAACATGAAAATTAAAATTCAAGGAAAGAAGTAAAACACGATAAAGAATATTTATGAACCTAAAAACAGATCACATTGTGGACTTATGTTCTTTAAAATCTCCTAATGTAATAATAATCTAATGTATCACTTACTTGACGGTTCTGGAAAATAATAATGGTATTGTGATTTTACAGTCTCCTTGGTTAATATGAAGAATTCTTAACATGAAAATATTTTGTAACTTATAATATAATGTTCTAGAAAACGTCATGGCTGAAGATGTAAAAATGGCCTATAATATATCAGCTTGTAGTTATTTTTCTAAATGGTCATAGTATCATATACTTTTCTAAATAATTATGTTTATATCTAAGACATAGGCTTCTATAAAACTTAGTCATAAAAACTCATTTATATGAGACACAAAAGTCAATTGTTTGTTGTACTCAAAATAACAGACTAGTTGGTCCAACTTACGTAAAATAGCTAACAAAATCCACTCACCATCAAGGCTTAGAAAAAGTCTTGGCATAGGAGTCAGAAGAAGTTAAGTGACTATGTGACCAAGGAGAGCTGTGAAATGCTATTCATAATAATTTGCTATTGCAATTAAAGTTCTGATTACTAAACAAAAATCTATACAGGATTAAAAAGTGAATATCCTAGCATAAATTCAGGAGATCTTTTTAGGGCCACTCCCTCCAAGCATACTATATGCTATAGGCATTAAAGAATGCTTATGGAAGAAAAACTCATTCTTGTTTGAGTACATTGTTTACAGTAAGATTCTCCTCTCTGGTCAATAGCCCTAAACCTATACACAGTTTGGCATCACTAATTGAACGTATTGAGTTACCAAAATTAAAACCATGAAGTCTGGAAAAGGGTGAGATAAAATGTGGCAAATTTTTTATTGGGAAACTAGGAATAGGATATATGGAAGTTTTACATTTTTTTTGTTTTTGAAATAATCAAATAGAAGCAAGTTTAAATTATTGCTTAGAATATTTTATCTGTCATCAACATTTTGAAGGTAATTATTTTCAATATTAAATTTAAGGAACCATGGGACTTAGATGAAATTTTGTGCTAAAATGTTAGGGAATGACAGGAATTCTTAAGGTCAGATACTCTACATGATCAATTATGATATTGGAAAGGAGAGACCCTGCTACTTTTATGTTCATAAAATCTAAGAATATTGTTAAAAGTGAGCCAAAGGAATACTGATTGAAGAACAACTTTTTAAGCTCAATATGACTTTATGTCATATTATAAAAGCAATTATAATTTTATAGTTAAAATTTAAAATGTTAAAACTTAGAGTGTAGACTGTAGCTACAGTATCATTAACATATTCCTAGTCCACAAATATTCCATAAGGTTATTGTTACATTCTCCTGGACAAGATATGGGTTGGTCATGAATTGTTCCATGGGTGTAGTAATTAATCTACAATTTACAAAGAGCTTGCAAATCTTTTCTAATTTCCTTATTTAATGGAGCCTCTACCATTAAAGAAACTCATTGGTTTCTTGAAAGAATATTGTGACAGGAATAACTGTCAGTTAAATTACAGATATGGTGATATCCCTTTGGAAATAATACTTTCAGAGAACTCGTTGGGCAATGTATGAATGCATCAGACATAAGAACTTAAATGTTTACTACTGCTATTTTGCATAATAGTTTGAATAAAGATAAGAGTAGGAATTTGGCATTTCAAAATTCTGTCATATACTCTTGATTTTTGTTGTATTACAAAATTTTCCTTGGGGTAATTCAACATAAATATATATTATCCAGAGATAGGGAATACACAAAACAAACAAACAAAAAACTATATACAGTTAATATCTACCTGAAGTTTGGTGAAACTTTCAGTATTTTGGATTAGCATTTTGGCATTAATACAAGAATATGGTTGAGAGGTTACTTACAGGGACAGAAATAGCTCACTAAACCCCAGCCCATCATGGGAGAAACAAGACTAAGCTGGGAATCTGGAATATACTGCACAAATTCAGGATGTTCAAAAGGTTAGAGACGAAGTGTCCATTTCAAAAGCTCTCTGATGTAAAGATTTTATAGACAACTTTGTATGTTTCTCTTTCTCACAGGCAGCTGGCATAGTTTCAGATTCTTCATTGCAATTCTTCACTACATCTAAGATTTTGTGTTTTATTGTGTTTTTGTTTGAGAGGAAAGATTTAATCTAAAATTACAATGTTATACAATACTCCACTCTTTCCTTTTCTCGGATATTTCTTCTTCCTCTTCTTCTTTAATTTTCCCTTAGCCCTGGAGGGAGTAATGGTAGATTTCCATGAATGGTTAAGAAATAGACTATCATAACCTAGTAACAAACACTCGATTTTAGGGCATTCACCAATTGTTGTCAATTGAGGCTGAAAATAACTTACACTTAAGTGTGTGTGTAAACAGTTTAACAGGCATATCATATCAATCTAGAAAAATCATGGGAGTAGCGTCCATAGCCACAATCTTTTGCTTGATCGTAGAGCAACAGGCTTAAACTCCCTTTTTATGGATGGACCTTGAATTCTATTGGAAGAGTTTTGGTCTTATCCATGGTAACAGGCCAACTATTTTGCAAGCCAGCATAACCTGCCTATTATATTTGCAGTTTCTCATGTAGGCTTAAGCAAGGATGTTGAAGAGTTCTCCAGCAGCATTCATGCTCCCCAGTCCCTTCTTAATGTCAAAAAAAGCATGATAGTTTTCAGTATAGCCACAATTTAATTTCTTCATGTCTTACAGACAAAGTATTCAATTGTAGTGTCTTTGAGTATATGGAATATCCCAGGTGTGGTTGAGGTTTCTTTCTTTTTGGTCCTCCTTGAGGCAAGGGAGGGACAACAGCATCAGTGTAGGTTAAGACTTTTGTCTTAGGAGATGTTAGGGTTGTTGAATAAAGTTCCATTATTTATCTAAATCTAAGTTACTTTGCTACCATAGTGGACCTGCCTTCAGTGTTCCTCTGAGGACAGAACTGCAGTCTCTGGCATTTAGCAACTCATTCTAAAACCATCAAGAGATTAAGTAGGAGATTAATTGCTAGAGCCTTTTCCTGTTTGTCCAGACGCCTCTTGCTTGTCAATGTAGGGGGATCTTTGGAGCAATAAACTTCTATTGAGCCAGGAAAAGAAAACAAACCTCTCACAAAGAAAAACTTTCACATAGCAAATATGCATTAATTCACATAAATTTACATACAGATTCACACGGCCATATTTATACATTTCCATTCAAACCGTTTACACACATACACATGTATGCATGAACACACACACACACACCTACAATATACTCACACATGTATTTGGAGGAAAAGTTCAAGCACCTTTGCAGACAGATTTCACTCTTTCTGGATGAAAAATGAGCTCCGATCATCATTGCATAGAGAAAGAAAAGGCTTCTA